GGGGGGGGGGGGGGGGGGGGGGGGGGGGGGGGGGGGCAGCCTGGCTCCCTGAAACAACCCAGGGAGAGCCTGGGGTCACGTCATTCAAGAAAAAAAGAAGCAAGTGGGAAGACCACAACACAGTGGACACGCATTCCATTGGTTGCCATTTAAGGTAAAAAATGACTAGAATATACAGCTACAACTCCTGGAAACTTTCAAAAGACGGGAGGTCAGTTGGTCCAGACTCAACCACTCCCCAGGGAAAGCCCCTTAGAGCAATGGTTTCTGAATGTTCTTGCTCACATACCCCCCAAATAATGTTGTAGATCCACATACTCCCTTGTATATTTTTAGGTGATGTAAATTTTTTTGGTCAGGATATTTGCAAAAGACATAATAATATTTCATTTTTCCCAATCCTTTTTGAGTGTTTGGGTTAAGTAAGTTGCCTCTTGAAAAAGAAAGTGAAACAGAAATCATTTAACAGTCCCCTTATAAGTCCTCAGAAAGTCTGTGGTGTACTTCCCCCAAATTATGAAAATGAATGGGTTTTGTAAATACTGACATTTAAAAATCACTTCTTTAAATGTATCCAGCAGAATCTAAACCCATAGTGATTTTATAACCACCTTTCTCCATTAAAAGAATATATGAAAACCTCTCCTTTAACATCTAGAATTTTTACGTTGTTTCTTTTTCCCTCCTGAGCGTGGTAGTTTCATTCTCTTCTCTTTCCACATTTTATTCTGATATCATAGACGTAGATGCTTAAAAGTCTTTTATTGATCACCCTATCATATATCCCTATAACATATACGTGTATGCGTATGTATATCTATATAAATTTTAAGATATTTTTCCAGTTATTGTGAGTATTAAGAGAAATTTCTCCTAGACTAAGTTACCATGTTAGCTATTATAAATTCACTATTGATCTAAACAAATAGATGTTAATAGATCATTAGTATTGTCAAATCATTACTCATCAAAATAACTATTAAATAGAAATTGCATTGAAATTGCAACTTTTAATGGAATGTGTGGGCTTTTAAAAAATGTTAGTTTCAAAATAAGTGGACAAATAATACTTATTGCTGGAATAAGAAAGAGTTTAATATCACCTCTTTTTCCTGTTTTTCATTTTTAGAGATATAAGCACTGAGAAATCATGAATAAATACATGAAATAGTGGGAGTTTTGTCATAGTGATGTCACTTAATTCTTTGAATTTCTTCTGAGTTCTGTGCCAAAAATGATGACTCAATTAGGTCCTTCTTTATTTGTGTTGAAAGTAAGGAATTGGAAATTACCTGACTTTCATGAGGAATTGTTATTCAGCCTTTAGAGATATTTACTTTTTCAGTTTCTGGGAAGTATACCAAACAGGTTTTACCAAAACTTCTCAAATAACTCTTAATTAAACCTGTTCCCTCTTTTTCTGAGAGGCAACCTGTTTAACTCAAAACATTCTAAAAAAGATAAAGTAACACTAATAAACATTTGTCAATATCCTTTTCTGATAAGATGCCTTTAAACCATATGCTTTTTTAAATGTATTTTTGTCAAGACCTTGGAGCTGCTAATGTAGCTCATTTATTTATGGGAACAGTCTGCTGTATAATCTAATTGGCAAAGCCAGTCCTTCTTGTCAAACCACTTAGCCACAGGAAAGATCTGATATGATTTTTTCAGTTCAATAAATGTGCTGTTAGGCATCCCTGTGAATAATCATCTTGTTTCTGAATTCTAAATTCTAATTCTTTTTTTTTTTTTTTCCTTTTTGTCTTTTTTCGTGTCCGGCAACGGATCGCAACCCTCAGTGTCGCGCCCGTACCGGACCGGGACCGGCAACAGGATCGCAACCCTCGGTGTTGCTCCCACACCTCGCTCAGCCAGGGAGTGGGAACCGGCCTGTACGTGGGATCCGAACCCTCGGCGGGAGCGCCACCGCACTTCCCAAGCGGCGCACTGTAGCAGTGCGCCACCGGGCCGGCCCCTAAATTCTAATTCTTGAATGGATGGATGGATGGGGAGGGAAGGAGGAAAGGAGGAAGGAAAGGACACAAGACCCAACTCCTGGAATCAGTTTGTTTTGTTCTCACAGGACTCTAGCTCAACAGCGATAAAATCTTTGGGAATAATCAGGGGATGAAAAAGGCCAGGTCATTAAACAAGAAGCACTACCACTCCTATTCCATTCTATAATGTATATATTTTTCAAGATATTTTTCAGTATGTAATTGAATTTGGAACAGCCCAATGTGGTCCCAAATGCCCTCATTTCTAATGCCATACTCCACCCTCATTAGACTTGTGTATAACGGGAAGCGCCACCACACTGCCTGATTCAAGGAGAATCACAGAGACTGATATTTCAGTTTTCCCTTTGTTAGGTGACCCAGAGGTTTAGTCACCATGTAAGTAAGGTTCAGCGTGGGTGAGAAAGGCTACCCTTCTTTGATACAGTGGGAGATGAGAGAATGGGAAAGGGGAATGCCTTCTGTAGGCATCTGACTCTATCCACGTGTTAAATGACACACTAGCCACCTACCAGCAGGAAGTCAATTCAAATAAAATTCAATTAAAATTTGTGACATACCCCCTTAAAATTTACATTTTCTTCTTCCATTTCTTTTACTTTATTAAGATGGAAGATTCTTCCATCTGATAAAATATCACTGGCCTTAAAATTAACCACTTCAGATGCCATTTTTGGCCACTAATTTATTATTTCATTCATCTTTAAAATATTTATGGACCAACAGTGAGCATTTAAGTCCCTTGCACCAAGTCTCATAGTTGATCAGTAGCTAGGTCGGGATTTGAACCTGCTTTTACCCGCTTCTCAAACTGAGCTCTTGGCCGGTGTGCTCTGTCGCCACTTTTATGTCCCAGATTCCGTGTTTGGCCCTGGGGCTGCAGCCAGAACAAGATCAACACGCCCAGCCTCGGACGTTCTTGTCGAGAAGGCAGATGTGAAACAGATCATTGAAGTGATTTGGACTCTATCCTAAGGACAGTGAAGTCATTGGATTAGAGGGTTTAAGTATTAGAGTGATTTGATTAGTTATACCTTAAAAATACATACAAGAGCATGTGAGCTGCAGCGTGGAGGAAAATGCACGGAGGGCCCACATGGGCGGGGAAGCGGGTGAGGAGGCCGTGCAGGTCTCCAGGCCAGAGTGGACGGTGTGGATGGGAGTGAGACTGGGCCAGGAGGAGCCGAGCAGCCAGACTCCGGCAGTGCCTGGGAGGTTGGAGAGGCTGAAGAAGAGAGACAGATGAGGAAGGGTCACCTGAATCACAGGAAGTAGTTGACGGTATCTAGTAATATGGATAGAGTCATGTAGATAACAATCTTTTTTGGTCAACAATGGAGCACATATAGGATAGTGGTCCCATGAGGTTCTAATGGCTACACCATACAGCTTAGGTGTGTAGGAGGCTGCACCATCTAGGTTTGTGTGAGTCATCTCTGGTGTTCGCATATGGATGAAATCGCCTGAGGATGCATTTCTCAGAACATATCCCCGTCATTAAGCAACACATGACTGTAGTGTCATTTGAAGCATATAGTGAGTGTCCCTTACCACTCTGTGCCTTTATGATTCTAACTGGGATTGTTTATTCTGCTAAAATTTAACTCGTTGGGGTGACCCGAATGCCCCATTAGAAGGTTTTTTCTTGCAAATCCGGGAGGTGTCGCAGCTCCTCCAAGGTCCTCTCTGCGGTTTCAGGGACACTGTGTATCCCAAAGTCAGAAGTGCGTGGGCAGCACGCAGGAGTGTCTGAATGACCCTTGTCGCTGATGGCAGCATCTTTCTTCCCATGCCACCCCAGCTCCTTTCTTGAGGCAGTGGAAGAGCCAGTAGCGCCCCCACCTGTCTCTAACTGAGGACCAGACTGCCCCCACCCTCCCCTGGAGACCTCAAGGATTCTGGGAAACAGAAAGAAGCCACTTTTCCGCCAAAAGCCTGAGTGGGACTCATTGGCCCCAGGTAGTTCCAAGCCCTTACACTTGTCTTGGCTTTTTTGTCTCACTGCCGCTAGGTGGCAGGACAGCATCATTTTATTTCCATTCCACGGGCCCTGTAGAAGCCCCACTGTTCTTTACTTTTCTTAAAAATATATACATACTAAAATGTTTTTCCAGTATTCTCATTATTGAAGACCATTTAGAAAACAATGAAAAGTACAAAGGAAAAAAAATATTTTAAGACAGTTTAAAGTTAGTAAAGTATTTAGGTTTTTAAAAAATCATTTAGAGGAAATCAGTCTGGGTACAGTCTACATTTCTTATGGACCATAGTTTATAGAGCAAGGCCTGGCGTCATCAGTGCACTTGGAGAGGGGTCTCTGTTGATTTCAAGCACCTAGCGCAGGTTACCTGCCATGCGTGTTAACCATGTAGTCCCTGCCCTGGATATAACGTCAAGTTTCCGTTGAATGCCTAGGTACAGCTACAGAAAATAATAACTAATTGCTGAATTGCATGATACAGACTAGGAGCTGTGAGAGGCAGGGAGGGGAAGGTGAAGGAAGGTCTGCAGTAGGAGTTGGAACTTAAGGTGTCAAGAAAAGTTGGTGGGAGTATTAGGAGCCTGGCAGAGCCTAAGGGCCAGGGCAGGGTGGAAATGATTGTCAGGCAGGCCACCATGGCAGGCTGTGTCTGAGAAAGTGGGTGGAAGCCACTGGGTGGGGTGCCTTGTTCCTGATAGCACAGGCCCTTGGGAGCCATTGCAGGCCCAAGAGCAAGCCTTGCCCAGCAGCCTGGAAGATGTTCTCTCCTAGGGACTCTTCAGCTGTGAAATCAGTGGCTCCTTTCTGAGCTCTGTCAAGGTCAGAATTTAAGAAAATAAAAAACAAAATAGCAAACGGATTTCACACAGTCTCACATTCCCCCAGGGCCTTGGTGGAGCCTTGTGTGTTCCTGCTGATGGGTTTGGTGATCCTTTTAATTCCCCCAGGGGAAGAGGGCAGGAAAAAAAGCTCATTCTCAAATTTTGATACACTCTCTATTTTTGAGGCACTGGCTCAGATCACATGGGCTTTGTCCTCAGCATCACCTTCGTTTTCCAGGCTTTGTCTCCCTGGAGGGTGTTTAATAAATGCCACATAGTTATAATTCTTTCTCCTGGACTAGTACTTGGGCTTCCCTGCCAGTCAGTGTTATATGTAAACAGGTCCCTATTAAAAAATGTGTTATTTGCATAATTATAAAAAAGATCCAGGTGGCTTTTCATTTGAGGGAAGGGAGAGAAGTGTTTCAGAAGAAGCAGTGCTTTGGAATTAGAGACAAGAACAACAAAGGCAGACGTTAACTAATTCTAAACAGTATGTTTCAAATTAAGTAAAAGCTGTACAGTGACACCCGTAGATTGAAAGAGGCTAGGTCTGGGCCCCCCTGAAAAAAAAATGAACTTTAAAATATACTAACGGCATTTATTTTCAGTAGAGGAAGGCTTCACATTCAGCCTCCACAATACTCAGTGCCTGGCTCCCAAATTTGTATGTACAGTAATAAAGATTTAATGCCAAATTTGAATCAGCAATGATACCACGTAAAATAGCAGCAGTGGTAGTGTCAAGTTGACAACCTGGTTTCAGATCCTGTTTCTGTCCCCACTTGCTAGTTGAGGGACAATATCAAGTCGCATTACCTTTCTGAGCCTCAGTTTCTTCATCTGCATCATAGGGATATTAATACCTGCCCACTGGATGGTTGTGAGAATTAAATAAAGTAACCGTCAGCTTCCTGAGTTACCTGAATGTACTTGATAAGGAAGAAATCATAGACTCATACTGTTAAATTGGAAGACCCCACAAAAGGTATCTAATTCCTTTCTATTATGGTCAAGGAAAATAAGACCAGAGAGGTTAAGAGCTTTACATGTAGTCACCCAGCAGGACCAGGACCAAGGCACAAGCCTAACTTGGGGTCCAGTGTTCCACTCCCTTACATCAAGTGCTACCCGCAGCTGCGGTGCCATCAAGCTGTTCAGACACGTTAATCCACCAACAGAGCAGTTTTTTCTTCCACCCAAGTGGGTCAGCAAATTTAATTCTTCATGCAAACTGCTCCCTTTCTGCCTCACTTCAGCTGAGGGATGGTATAGGGACAGCTGTTCCAGCAAGGCTGGCAGTGTTCTTTCCCATGAAGAGGGCAAATGCACACATTTCAGGAGAGATGAGCCATGCACCGCCACAGCACGGTCCCAGGGCCTGGGAACTAGGAAGCTGTAGCTTCTACATGTGTAGGATCCCTGCAGTTATTTTAAGTGATAGCTCTTCTACATGGGAAAATAATTAACTCTAAAGTGAGAAGAAGTAAGGAAGAGAGGTAAATAATCAGGTTTTATAGTAGTAGAAATTTAAAACACTGTTGGTGTAGAATAATTGTCCAGTAATAGAAAAGTACTATGGAAATATAACCTGTTGCTTCTTGAATGAACATTGAGCACAAGTAAGACATGTGTCGCATGGTGTGGCATGTTTAAAGCCCGAGCTGGCCGGTTTCTGTCTGGCATGGATCTGGGAGGGTGAGTCTGTGTGCTGCTCAGCTGCAAGTGGAGAAGATGGGTTGATGAGGTTGTGGAAGGATGAGGGCTGAAGCGTGTTAGCTGTTCTAAATCCTGGACCCTGCAGCCACAGTACACACGTGATTGTACCTTCCACTCAATCTATTAGGACATTTAAAGAGAATTCAGCCTTTTCTTTCCTCTGGAGGATTGTTTTTAAGTCTCGTGTCAATTTTTATTTTCAGAGGTCTCACTGTTCCTTTTTTTAGGGGAGAGAGGGTCAGTGGAGATTGATGAGTTTGGGGGAAGGGAGTCTATTCTTAGCCTGTTTTAAACTGAGTTGGCTTCTCCATGTCTCGGTATATTTTTGCAAGCTGAGTTTCAGAGAAAAATGTATAGAGCCCGTTTTCCCTCTTGCTTGCAGACCTGAGGATGGCCAGTGACCAGGAGGTTTACGCAGGTTAGCAAGTGTCACTTCATCAGCTTTGTACCTTTCACTGATCACGACCCTGAACCACTGCTGAGAAGTTTGCTTAATAAGTGTTTTGGTTTTTCTGTGCTCACATTTTTTTCGTTGCATTTGGAGAGCTGAGATGGGAAAGCGTAGTAAGTTTTGGATCACTCAGTTTATGTTATGCAAGACCATTGAGAAATGTTTATATGCCCCACTTGAAAATTAAAGGATTGGGTAATCCCCTATAGTCTTGTATTCTATTATTTGTATTACTAGTTTGAGTACCTTTATGGGGGAGAAATAACCTTGTGAACTTGAACAGTTTAATTCGCCACAACTCACTTCCTATTTTTGTTCCTTTACTTACATACAAGTTTACATATTTTGCCATTCACACGTGTGCTGTTTTGTGGCCTTTGTGGATTTGGCATGTCGGTGGGTTGACCACGTGTACGTGCTCACCACCTTTAGTAGCTGTGTGGTATTTTATTCTACTGACAGTCAGTCTCTTAAAGATTGTGCTACTGACTGCATGTTTGTGGAAATTTGCTTTTTTTACCAAAAATTTTTTTATTTGGACCCCATGCTTTTAAAAAGTCACTTTTTCCATAGGGAGCTGTCCCAGAGTGGGGGGATGCCACAATGGGGAGCCTGGGCATTTCTGCCGGTCAGCAGAGAAGGGGAGGCCAGTGTGACCTTCCCAGCCCGAGTTTGAATGGTCCTATGGAAAACTCCAGCGTGCAGCTCACTGCTGATTCAGTCACAGGCCTTTAGGGCCAGGCGGCCTGTGCCAGTCTTCTGTCCCCTGCTGAGCTCTGAGCATGTTGAGTTTTTATTATTACAGAGAAGAAGGAAACTCACACCCTGTCGTCGCAGGGCGGAGCCTAGTTCTGATGCAACGGGAGATGCTTCCAGACGGAGACACTAGGTACCGCCTGCACTGTTTCTTCTCTCTCTTGCTCTGTGCCTTGGTATGTTAGGACTGTGGGGATGCCCTCTGTTGAAATGTTGGAACCATGCGTGAATCATCCCCAAAATATTTAGACAAAGCAGCTACGAAAGCCAGAGCTCTAGTTCCAAATGGAACAGCCCTGGGGAGATGGGAGCCCAGAGGTGTGTTTCCTTTCATGCTGATGAATGTCTGCAAACAGATAGTGCTACTGGGAATCCTATTCGTGGAGACTCTTTAGAAAATAAATAGGAGTGGGTTTGCGTGCTTATATTCCCTTCCAAATATAGAAAGGCATAATTCATGTTTCCATCTGTAAGAG